CACATTTTTCATTTAACTGATGTGTGTGCTTGTGCTTTTTTGTTTGCAATTTGATAGTTATAATGTTATCATGTTGTCATTTTAATTCTTCTATTTTATTTATTTATTTTTTTGTTTAAAAGTCATCACATATGCTCCCTCTTTTCTGAATTATTAGGCTCCAGTTGTGGTTACGGCTTGTAACCGTGCTAATTATCTTGAAAGGGCTCTCAAATGTATTCTAAAGTATGCTTAATATTTGCGAGCATTTTCTTGTGCTCCTGATTAATTTGCTCATATTTCAATAACTGGATATGTGTATTTTGACTCTGCGAATTAAGCTCCCTTTAATGAAGTTCTTGTTTCTTATTGAACAGAAGAATTCAAATAATGTTGAACTTCTCCCTCTATCTCTCTCTTGTTTTGATACGCTTTCTTGGAGATGTAAAATTATACATTTTTTTAATCATTTAGAGTTTGAAGGCCTTTTTCACACATGTACACTATATGGTTGTTCTAATGGTAGTCTCATTGTTTGAAATTGTTTCCCTTTCAAAGAAATCACAACCATTGTTTTGTGTCCTTTCCCAGGATGGCGTGCCAAGAACAACATACAGAGGAGTAGTTATTTTTTGATACCAAAGCCTGAAGCGTGTATTCCTTGTTGGCCCAGAATCTCTCCAACATCTTGGGATTTAACATGCTTAGTAATGATTGAGGTTTAGTGATTGCAAGTCATATGCATTCATAATGCTATCTTAAGTTATTATGTTTTATAGAATCAATTTGGAACAGAGAACTAGAGTATATAAATGATTTATGAACTGATATCCATGAAGGTCTCTTTTGTTGATAGATTTAGTAAATAAGTTAATAGTTTTTGAATAAAAAAATTATCCTTAGAATGAAAAAAGAAAATAACAACGTTAGTAGTGATTAGCATTTCATTTTTAAAAATATAATTAAATAAAACATACATTGGTAAATTTCTTCAAAATACCTTGTATCAGGTAAATAAATTTAAGGGTAAATTAACAATATCTCCTTACAATTTGCCTAATTACGTATTAGCCTCTGTTTTTTATTTAATAATTACATTTTTTACTGTTGGTGAATGAGGGCTATTTCACAAGTACTTCCTACAAATTATCCCTTTCTTTCATTCCAGAGAACTTTGCTTTTGTTTGCTATTTTTTCTTAAGCCTATTTTCCAGTCTAAAGACAGAGGAAGTGACGACATTAAAGGAAACAACATCCAAAAAAAAAAAAAGACAGGATACTTATTTAGAAAAGCCATTTACACAAATTGCTTTTGAGAAAATTTCCAAAATAAAAACACAACCCTAATATTATATTCAAATTTGAGGATGTACATACACAACAAATTGTGATTGTACAATAATATGATAAATGACTATGACAAAACCATAACTAATCTTTTTTGCTTCTCATGTACAACTTTCCACGAGCATCCTCATTGATAATATCGATCAGGCTTTCTAGAAAATCAACATGCTGCAGAACAGCATCATTAACTCCAAAATCCATCTTCGCGAGATAGTCCGCAGCCCGGTTAGATTCACGCCATGAATGAGAAATTTCGAATTGGTCAAACTTGTTCAAAAGCCGCCAAATGTGGTCCAATCCGCTATTAGCCGTTGAATGAAAGCACTGTTGCTCTTTCTTAATTGTTTTGACGACACTCAACGAATCAGACTCGATCCAAATGTATTTAATACCCAGTTTGAACGCATGCATAAGACCTTTCCATATGGCCCATAATTCGACTACGAAGATGTTATGTACATCTTTGGGAGGAAGAACTGAGGAGACATAAGCACAAATGGGAAGACCATTATAATCACGTAGAAGACCACCATAACTCGTAGTCCTAACATTATTTCGACCACCACGTATAGATCCGTCAGTGTTTAATTTAATCCAGCCGACTTTTAGTTTTTTCCATATACACCATTTTTCTATTGCGAGAGAGTGTTGAAGAAACTTAAGGATGATCAAAGGTTGTTCATCGTCGGTAGACAGGAACGTAGGGAACCACGGAGGTGGAGGTGGAGGTATTGGTGTCAGCAACGGCAACCACGGAGTTGTCGTCTCCATATCAATAAAGCCGAATCCACCAAATGAAGATGACCGAACCCGAGTGTGTAACATCATATTACTAATATGCAATGAAAAACAAATACACCAACCCAACGAAGAAGAAGGAACCACGGAGGTGGAGGTATTGGTGTCAGCAACGGCAACCACGGAGTTGTCGTCTCCATATCAATAAAGCCGAATCCACCAAATGAAGATGACCGAACCCGAGTGTGTAACATCATATTACTAATATGCAATGAAAAACAAATACACCAACCCAACGAAGAAGAAGAAGAAGATTACCGAAGATCACCAAGTGTTTGATATGTGAAGACCACCAAGAATGAATCAAGTTATTAAACCGTGAACACCAATCCAAGGAATGACGTCACTATAAATGAAGCTGTGTAGTGTATATATACTAGTGTAAATCCTAGTTTCCTAGTTTGGATGGATGACCAACACAGTTAATAACTAGGATCCTAGTTTGGATGGATGACCAACACAATTAATAACTAGGAGCAATTATCAGACGCAATTATCAATAACAAGGCGCAATTATCACGCGTTATCGGACTCAAGAAAATTAATTCTCTTATCAGTAACTTGGAGCAACTATCAGACGTGTTATCGGTCTCTCTCCAATCTTCCATCGGACTGGGTCGTCCAGTCCGGCCTAGTGGGCAGGTTTTTAGACTTTTCCATGATTCGAATCGTTTACATTTTAAAATTTATTGAATATATTATTTCTATAAAAAAAAAAATCAAATTAGATAATGGAAAACACGTGTTTGGATTAATTTTGTATAAACCATTTATTTTTTCACCGTTTATTTTTTTTTACAAAATTGATCCGAACACGTGATTGTTGTTATCCGATTAACTTCATTTTTTGTAAGGATGATATACTCGATAAATCTTAAAATATGAATGACTCGAATTATAGAAACAAGGCTCAAAAGGGAGTCCACTGAGTCCAACAATACCTCTCTAGTTCAATGGAGGAATGGAGAGAAGCCAGTCTCATTGTCCAATCCAACGGAACAATTTCAATGATCAAATGAATGGAGCTGATTTATTAGTAGACATAGAATTGTTTGGTTGTTTGTGTTAGAGTTCGTTTGGCAAGGAAAGTTGGGGCTAAAATAGCCACAAAAGACAAAATAGGCTATTTTAGCCACAAAAGACAAAATAGACTATTTTAGCCACAAACAAAACATCACATCCAATCCATAATCATTATACTCTTCTCTCATAAAAAAAGTCAAAAAAGTCAAAAAGCCAAAAAGCCTTTCCCAAACCAAACTTTTTAGCCTAGGCTAAAATAGCCAAAAAAGTCAAAAAGCCAACCCACTTCCCAAACGGAGGCTTAGTGTTAAAGGTGGAGGTGAGAGGTGTTTTTAATGCGCGTGAGCTACACAGCTTGGTTGTGTCGTTTCCAATACGAGGGAAGTCACGTGCCACATAAATTTCTCTTTCTATATTCATCTTCAAATTTAAACTTAATTTTTATTTTTATCTTATATTTATAGAATCTCACTCTTACTCTTCATTGAGTTTATTCGAATGAGTGTATTTCAAAAAAATTAATTAATCTTGCACATCTATATAAATATAGTGAAATCACTCAAATCTATTATTTAAATACTCATCTAAATTAATATTATAGTATTTAGTTAATTTTTAACATGTTTAATATCATTTATTACATTTTGTTACTTGCTCATGCATAGAATGAGCTTTAAGCTAGTTCTATATATTGATAATTCCTCACTATTAATATTAATCATATTAATTAAGGCCATAAATCCTCAACCAACCAATCATGATGGAGATTATTTTGGTAGTGGTATGTGGGTATCATAATAACAAAATGACACCAAAAGTTCTATATAAATTAGTAAAATTTATTTATTTTTAAATCTTAATAATTTATGTAATTTTGAAATTAGGACTCTCTTTGATAAATATGATGGGGTATTAAATCAATGAGTAAATAAAATTTGTTTCATTTGTTAATCTCTAGTGTATGTCAAATAAAACATAATAAAATAAAAAATTACTTTGAGAATTTTTTTTTAAAGACATTGAATTTTAATACTAAACTACCACAAACTTTCAAATAAATTTAACATCTCTAAATTTGGAGATTTAGGCGAAAATATTAAACACATCCATACACACCAAAAAAAAAATACATAGAGATTTACATGTCTTGGTAGAGAGTACACAAATGGGACAAAAAATGACAAAAAATTGACATTAATATGTGAATTCATATTAGACCGCCCACAAATTTCAATTTCCAGAGCACAATTTCTTTTTGTTCACCATGCATTCCATTTAAAGCATGAATTTGTACAGAGAGGGGAAACATATATATATTATTCTTATTCATAATAAATCATTGAAAATATTAGAAGGAAGGTGTGAACTACAAGAAGTAAACTTTAAAATTCGATCGATGTCAGAGCAAGAAAAAGTTCATATTCAAAATATTGTAGGATGTTGTTAGTAGTTGTAGCTAGACTAGCTAAACAAAGATGTCCTTGCGCCATTAAAGAAGCAATGCAATCATCAAACATCTCTTCGATACACTTGAACTTGAATTCCAAACTTCTCAATTTAGAAGTATTGAGCTCATAATATGGCCTATCAAGTGCCTCAAACTGAAATATAGGCCACATGTAGAAATCATCAGTTCATCAATCACTAATCCACGTACACATACAATACATACATAATTGCTATATATAAATCCCCCCTCCCTTGATCAGAAGATAATAAATTCTCTCTTGTCACGCAAATTGAATATTTTCATCCAAACTTTCATAAATTTTAATATTATGCATGTTTTCACTTCAAAAATGTTGTCAAAATTACAAATTATAAAAATAAAATAAAAAATTTTGGACCTTGGAACATCAATATTACAAGAGCAATGAAAGGTTTTACAAACTAATAATCTAAAATAGAACAGTTTAATGTTGATAACATTAATCTTTACTGAGAAAACAATGCCAACCTCTTGGGAATGGACAATGTTGGATAGCGTCGAGACAACACGGAAACAAGCTCATTATTGTCGACAACAATTGAGCTACAAAGGTATCGTCCATGTGCATTTTCATGCTCATAAACAAGGATGTGGCAGAGTGCTACATCATCAATGTGCACATATCCCATCCTTCCATGGCAATGAAATTTCTCAGTCTTTCCTATTTGTTTATTCGAAAGATCAAACACAACCAAACTGTAAGTCAAATAAGTAAATTAGTGTGCTTCCAAACTCCAGTTTGGTTACAAATACAAGTAACAAGATAACATTCCTTAACGCCACTGACTGAACTTTTGAAAGTGGAGAAAAATAGCAACGAGCTAGCGAGTTGGTCAGCAACAGGGGAATGCATTAATTACTACCTTCAAGCAAGCCGAGGACATCAGATGCGGTAGTACACAAATGAGGTGACAAACTAGGTCCAACAACAAATGAGGGGAGAACGGTCACCAGATCAATCTTGTTATCTTTGCAGAACTCCCACGCAGTCCTCTCAGCCAGGGTTTTTGATAAAGCATACCAAATCTTCATATATAATAAACCAATTATGAGATGAAGGCCATATATATAAATATTTATTAGTTAATGCAGCTGCAGGTAAGAGGCTGGTGTGATGAGCTTCAAAATGCGTAGTGGGATATTATAATTTGTTTTGCAGTGTACATGGAAGCAGGCCCATATAGTAAAATTGCAATGTTGGAAAATAATTTCAATTGGATAATTAAGATAATATGATTAACCTGGAGTCTTTCGCAGAGCTCCACAGAACTCCAAGATGATTCATCCAAAGGCACATTTGGGTCGAAATCATCTCTTGCCCTTACAGTTGAAGAAGATGAGGTGAGAATCACTCGCTTTAATGATGGATTCTTCTTACATGAACTCAATATGTTCAATGTACCCTCAATTGCAGGTATCAAGATTTCAGCCTATTCCAATAATATTGCACCACTTCAAATATATATAAACTGGATGTATATACAATGCTAACAGTAACATGCTTACAGATTGAATGATTGAATGAAGGGTCTATTAACACGAACATGCCTTTGGATCAGAAGATGGTTGGCCCAAAACAGGGGAAGCAATATGGAAGACACCATGACATCCCATGATTGCGTCGTCAAACCTGCCCTCCTCCATTAGATCAGCCCTCACCAACTCAAGTCTCTCCTTGGCTCCTTCCAGCCTCCACAGATGCCGCAATTTCTCATTGTTTCCTGCATATTCATAGCAAATAAACTTTAGTTACAATATAAACAAAATGTAGTTTTTGATTTCAGAGAGAGAGAGGGAGAGACAGATACCAGGGTCCCTAACTATTCCAATGACACGATACCCAGACAAGAGAAGTCTCTTGATCAACCAAGAAGCGATAAAACCAGAAGCACCTGTCACGCATACTCTTCCTTTTGATTCAAACTTCTCGTCCATATTAATTTCCTGTGCTCAATTAACCAATAATTCCAGCACTGCTTTCTCATTCTGATTGCAGGATATATATATATATATATATAAAGCAGCATGGCCTTTGATTGGTACATCAGCTTGGCATTGTTGGGGGGTAGGATGTGGAGACGGCAAGTCATCTCAAGCATGTGCACTGTTGCTAAGGTCACAAGTAAGCAGTCCAACCAAAGAATGCCTGCATTTTATTATTCACTGCTTACATACCTCAACTTCAACTAAATTATATTTTTTGAGCTTTCGAGCTCAGATTGTGATTGGATTAGGATGGCTCACTGCAATTGAAACTGAATATATACATTCAAAACTATAACTAAATTCAAACACCAACGGTGCAACTGCATGTATTACCCAACAAGTCCTCAAATGAAAGGTTAGGGATTCTAAATTAGGGATTCTAAATTAGGAAAGACAATGTCTATTTGAAATATATATAGATATATATACATATAGATATACACACACAGAGAGAGAGAGAGAGAGAGAGAGAGAGAAAGAGAGAGATGATTCTAAATTAGGCCAGCCAATTTTTGTTGTCCATTTGTTCTAATATATTTTCAATCATATAATGTTGAGAAAAAAAAATCTCAAGACATTCGTACAACTAAATATAAATTAGAATAAAAATATTTGGAGACTGAATCTCAATGATTCATTGCCTTCCAAAAAATTATTATATTCACAACTATCACTATTATTACTCGTATTAACAACCGTTTGAGAAAAATCCCCATGAGAATGGATCCATTAATAAGTGAAATATTTGCAACTCCAATTAGATTAACATCTATTAAAAATGAAAAGAAAAGAAAAGGAATTGTAGAGAAATATGAAAAATGGAAAAAGAACCAGGTAAACGGCTTCCAAGCATATAAGCTACAAAATAGACATTGTCAATAAGTCAAAACTTGATAACAATAAAGACGCCACTTCCTTCACGAGCACTCAATTCGCTGGCGCTTTGCAGAACCATGACCGTGATCTTCAGATATGTCTATGTTTTTGTTATCAACACCACTAGTAAACAACTCGTCATTTTCTTTATATTTGAAAGTCCAACCAGCAAAATCAAACTCCGAGAACAAAGAGCTGGGAGTTGCCTTGTAGAATGCAAGTGGAAACTGTTTTACCCTTCGTCCAATCTGCAAAGTGGATTAAGTCTTTATTTGAATTGAATCACGTTAATGAAAGCATAATTGAATATTCTTTTTCTTTTTCTTGTGTAAATAGATGCAAATATACCTCCGCTCTAAATATTGTTGCATATGAACCAGAACTGAAATCTTTAACCGCAACTTCAGTCGTTTTGCTTCTTACTGTCAAATCGTTCTCAAGCGACAAAACAAATCTAAAAAAAGAAGAAAGTAGGTATTGTCAATGAAAAGGAAATGCCAAACAACGTAATTAAAACACATTATTCTAAAGAACGCAAACAAGCATGCACATTCAAGAGAGGAAACAGAGATGATCAGGTTAAAGCATGCACCTTGATACAGGTGGGCAGTAGTGGTGACGGAGGGTATCAATCTCCCAAAGAGAACTTCCTGTACACATGTTGTCAATTGTTAGGCATTGTTTTCTTCTGAAAGACATAAAATGCTAACAAGAAAAGAAGAATAGCAGTCAAGAAGAATGAAAATTTATACATTAATCATACAGGATATTTGCGGACTGATGAAAGCAGGACAGTTCCCAACTCAATAGTGAAATCAAAAGAATAACATGGTATAAAAGGTACAAATTTGCAGTCACGTAATTGTCAATAAGTAGGACTCCCGGGTTTTTGTAGACCTCACAACAGATAATAGCAGACAAAAAGATATCAAATATCCATGAGCA